GCAAGTCAAGAGCTATTTTAATTGTCCAAACAGATGTACTTTCTAATATACTTTTTGATTGAAGAGAACAAGTTGTTCTTAGAAACCAAGGATCATAATTTTACTTTCACTGGATTTTTCAGTACAGTTGGTTGTTTTGGGGTTTTTTTTTGAAGGCACTGTATAGTTCCAACACCCTGAGAGGGGGTTCATAATGTGGTGGTGTTTTTTTTTTTTCTTCCTTAATCATCATATAGTGGATTTAGAAAAAGAATAAGGAAGCTGTTTGTTTTGATGCTGTCAGGACACTTCAGGTTAGAAAACAGCGAACCCTGGACCATTCCTGCGCTGTCTCATAGCAGCGGGTACCACTCAGCGCTGCTTGGCGTCTGTCTAATTGCAAATGGCTCGCTGAGAATCTTTCAGACTTGTTGTAACTGCAAGTAAGCAACTGATTATTAATTCTGATTAGTCATTACTGATGCTTCATAAATGTACTGCTGCACAAAGAACAGGAGGAAACGTGTGTCCTTCACTTGGAACACGTTCTTTATAATTTCGATAGTGCGTTGTGAAGAAGTGGCTTCAAATACCTCTCGTAGGCTGGGTTCATCTGTTCAGAAAGAGAATGTGGAAGGGAATTAATGGCAATTAAGAACAGAAAGGCTATAATTTTTTTCTTAAGAACAATCTCTGGAATACAGAAAGCTAGACTATTAAAAAAAAAAAAGCAAACAACAAACCACCAGCTATTTCAACTGTGTGCAAGATCTCATTCCTTATAGTATGTACTATCCTTCATAACCAGCACACAACTCATCCCAAATGGGACAGAATACTATTTAACTTCAAAAAATATGCTTGGACTTGAATGTTTGCTGAAGGCAAATTTTGTGTTTAGCTGTAGGATTTCAAAGGCTACTGATTAACACAGTAAAAATCTCATTCAGGGCAAAATGAGTTTTCAAACAGAGCAATGCATATTTACATTGTGCAGAATTTTACATTACTCCACAATATGGATGACTTAAGAAGAGAAAGTAAAGTTCTAAAGACCATGAAGGATGAAATTGCCTTGTTTAACATTTATACTCATTCTGGTTAAACATATTATTAAAAAACTCAAGTTTTGCACTAGTATCAGTGTATATAAAATACCCTGCATTTAGTGCTGTTTCATAATATGTATACAGACTTATTTTAGCTTATTTTGTACAATGTAACCTCAGTGATACAAATTTAAAAACCAAAACCACATGAGTGGCACATGACAGCCCATCTCCCTGGCACAGGTTCTAGTACTCTGCAGGCTCTAACTCATTTTCAGGTTAAATGTCTGAGCTCAGACTATGGGTGGCACGATTGGAGTGTCACAGGTCATTGTTCAGAGTGAGATACAAGGAATTAAAAGCTCATGTCTTTCATCTGTATTACTTTTATTAGAAGGAAAGCAAACAGTTTCTGCTCTGGCTAATGGGGAAGTTGTCTGGCTGTAACCCATCCATACCTTGTTGGTGGGGGACTTCTGAGCCCACTCGTAAAGCCGCTGATAAACCTGCCCGTCGTAACTGCCCAGCGCGGAGTTCAGGCTCTTGTCTGTGAAGTCGAAGGCATCCACCAGTGGAACGGCGTCCTTCCTACGGAGCAGAGCAGTGACATTTGTGTTACTGAAGCAGGTATTGCTTTGTAAGGGGGGAAGATAAACTTGGAAGTCAGTTGTCCAGGTTCCTCAGCCTAGAAGGTCTGCGCCAGTTTTTCTCCTTGTCTATACTGGGGGGGAAAGCCTGCTTCTTTTGATTCCTCAGAGGCATCTCTAGGTGACCCTGCCTTGGCAGGGGAATTGAACTAGATGATCTCCAGAGGTCCCTTCCAACCCTAACAGTTCTGCGATGTTCTACTAATACCCTGAGTTGTCTGTGCTGTTGAATGGGAGTTTGCAGGTCTTGTAATCACCTGGGCTCTGTCCCTAATTCCCTAATTCAGGACTCAGTCTCACATCAGATGTTTTCTCAGCACTCTCTGCCAGTTCTTTCTTTTGATTTTTGTCTTATTTTTCTCACGCTGTGGGTGTTTGTCTTATAAAATGGAATAAGGTTGCTATTGGATTGATGTGAAGTGCTTTGTTGATCTCCAACCTCCATCTACCTTTCAGTATTTCTATTACCTCATCATGAGGTGTTGACGTATTTTATTCTCTTTGTGGCTCTAAGAGCAAAGCAACCCTGACCCACACCAGGAGCCAGTCTGACAGCAACTGAGAGCTGCAGCACAGGCAGCTTTTTCTAAGCAGGAGATGGTTTCTCTTTCCTTGTCCTCCCATTGTCCTGCATGTAGGAAGTCCTGCTGGCTCTACCTCACACCCAAGGTACCGGGATGCAAAATGTTTGCATCTTCCAGTTCCTTTTGGGTAAGGGCTCTTCGGGGGTTTGGGAAAGGCTGAGATTTTGCTACAGACCAGGAAGTGTTTGTATTCTTTCTACTAATTGTAAATATGTAAATACTCACTTCATTCTTGAATCCTGTTAACAAGGCGTGGACTAAAACAGAAGTTGCAATGAATTCCAGAGGCAACAACATGTTAGTCTTTTGCAAATGTTAATGTTGAGCTCATCACTTAACTCAGATTCCATGATCAGTTCTGAAAAGCCTTGCTCTTTGGCTCAGCCCTGTTCAGCCCTTGCTTGTGGTGTGTTCTTGTTTCTCTCCATGTGGCTTAAGCAGAATTTTACATAAAACTTCTCTGCACCATAATCTGTTCTAAACAAACAGTACTGAGTAGTGAAAGATGAATGCTTTGTCAAAAGGCCTTTGTGAGTGTTGTGGTAAGTGAAAACCTTAACATAACTCAGAATTCACAGAGTTAGTGACAAATTGTGTCGAGCAGATGCATCTGAAGTAGCTGTAGGCAGGATTGTTTGGGTACCAGTTGCAGCTCAGCCATGGCAACAGAGTGGGCTGTATTAGCTGCGGCTTGAGCAGATTCTGCAGTGTGTGATGGGTTGCTGTGGCTGCCTCCTGCCAGTGCTGCTCTGACTACACATTTTCGTGTTTTCGCTCTACTGAAAATGGTATAAAGTGTTCAGGACTTCTTCATTTATAATTTAAGATTTCATGTTACAGAACTTTCAGAGATTGCAGAGGAGCTGGACACTTGTCATGGTCTGTTTTACCATGAAAACAAGCTCTGTGTAGATGTTTCAATCAATTTGTAGTGCTGCCAGGCAATGAAAATAAAAACTGAACGAGGTGAATTGACTGTGGAGATGTTGCCATAGGTACAGTAGCACCATTTTATATCTATTACAGGGACAAACTGAATAGCTGTGTGTCTCCTGCCAGAGCAACTCACCGAATAACAGCCAGGAGGTCCAGGTAGGATGCTGTGACCATGTCCATCTGAGCTGCAGATATGTATCCATCATGCAAGAAGGCTCCTGTATTCAAGAAGATCCCATGTAGTGCAAAGAGGTCACAGAGATGTTTCATAATCCTCTGGATGCCAGCCTTGGTCTCGAGTTTTTCCACAGTTTCTGCAAAGTTTTTCACTGTGATGTAGTGGCAGTGAGCCTGGAAAACAAACGCAATCAACAGTGAATGCACCTCAAAACACTTTTAGTAGGTCAAGTGACTCAAATGTTCTTGCAAAGAATATAAAACCTTTTCATTTCCTTGGCACTTCTCCAGTCTGTATCCTTTGTTTGCTGGGTGACCAGGCCTTTTGCATTCATGGCTTACAGCAACAGCAGACAACAGAATTAGGGTTGTAAACAGTCAACACTGTGGTATTTGTAAACTCTAGAAAACTGCTTCAGAAATCATGTTAGTACTTACTCTAAATATTTCTGATTAATATCCCAAAGAGTTTGTGTGAAGGAAACACATTGGAATGTACTTGTGTTGACCCCTAGCAAGTGAATCTTGATTGTACATCAACAGAAAAAACCTCCTTACTTGAAGACCTTGGGTTCATGGTACTTTGGGATCAGTGTCTACAAGGCTTCAGCTCTGGAAACGTCACTGAAGAACAACCAAACTTACCTCCCACTTTTGTGGTTTTAAGAAAACTGATAATTTCTGGGTCAGACACCAGTAAAGTACCTGACTGCCAAATTACATAAATATTAGCTGAGGTCCAGAGCTAATGAAGCAGGTTGACCCCACCTGTCTGTGGGGTGACTCTTGCTATACTGACACTGCTGTGGGTGGTTGGTGGTGTTGGGAACTGTGTGGCTCCACTCCCCCACTGCACAGTTCTCCTCCCAGCTGTGGGTGTAAGCATGGCACACCTGCACTGAAGCTCTTCCTGCTGGCACGGTGGAGCAGCATGGACTGCAGAACCTGCCTGAGAAGCCGAGTGTCTACTGAAGCAATTAACGTGTGGGGAGTCTGCCCAGTGTCTGAACTACACAGCTGGGAGCTGGCAGGCATCAGTTCATAGAGCTGCTATGCCAGTCGTGTGTGAGTCTCCAGGGAAAGTGTGGGATTAGAAGTAAATACAGAAATGCCCCAAGAAGGCAGCAGATTATATCAAGATTCTAAAGTTATGGGGCAAACTCAAGGGTTTTGGGTGACTCTTCCTGTCTCGGAATTATTTAAGAAACTTTAGGGGCCCAGCTCTCATTTTCTGAGGAGTCTAGCAGCACAGTCACCACTGACAATACCACAGCCAGCCCTCTGCATATGTTAGGCTCTTCAGAAATGGTTTATTTCTGACTAGTCTCATGTCTAGGTTCATTCTCCTCCTTGCTTCTCAGAGAGAGTTGGATTCTAGCTCCTCTGACATATGATCCCCCCTCCTCTAAAGTCCAGAGACCTTGGCCACCCATTTGAGTGGGTGCAGGAGGAAACAACTTGTTCAGGTTTGTCTGCAGGGGGTGCTGGTCAGAGCTTTTTCTAGAGGTAATCTTGAATGGGAACATTTTGCTTCTGTTTCACTCCCCTAAAAATATATTTACATTTAAAAAAATATTGGGAACGTAATTTTTAAAAGTCACTTTGTTCATGGGAGGTTTCCTTTGTTTTTGAGGCAAGTACAGAGTTTTTCTGCTTTTTTTCAAAGTTACAGCACTGAATATTTGCTGCTTACAGTGAGTCTGTCTAATTGAAAATGTGGGGTGATGCACGGAGGACAGGTGACCACAAAAAATGCTGCTGCTGACATCAGGTCTTTGCTCCCTTACTCACTGAGTTCTTGTTTTGAAGGATTTATATCTGTGCTTGTATCAATGCTTCCCGTGGTTTTGAAAGGTTCTTGGCTGTTGCTGAGAAAGGTTTGACTCATCAAGGACTTCATCTAATTGACTGACTACAAGGGGGCTTGTCCCTACTATGAAACCACCACGATAGTGGTGATCACCCCTGCCAGGTATGTGTACGATTCCTTTTTCCCTGTCAGGGGCTTCTTGCTGAGTCCATTTCACTCTGGCTGAATGGTAGATTAAAACTAGATGTTTTTCATTAAAAATTCAATGAAGTTAAAATCATGGATCTGTTTCAAAATCTTCCTTTCCTCAGCAAAGGAAGGAAGGAAGGAAGGAAGAATTTCACCATAATTGCAGAGGAATTGCACTTAATTGCATATTAAAAATTTTGTTTTTTGGAGATACAGAAACATTGACGGGTTTCGCTTTCATTAAAATTTAGGTATTTTCTCCCCTCCTGCTTTGTTTTCTGCTTAGTTCTGCACTAACTCTTGTTTTGGGGAACAAATGTTGCTGTCCCAATCCTACTTCATCTGAAGCATGTCTTATTAATTTGACTTTGATTTGATTTTTCTTTCGGTAGTAGTTAACGTTGCACTTCATTGTTTTCCTTGCAGTTATCTTTCCTTGGGAGAGAGGCAGATGGAAGAAATACCAGGCATGTTTCACCCTTGCTGTGACTCTACCGGCTTTCAGTGGGGTGGCTTTGGGAAGACTTTCCTCTGGGAGCCAGAAATGTTGGATTTTTACAGAAAGGTGAATGTTGGCTGGAGATGGTGGGTTCTTGTTGCAGGATATGGGATGCCTGATTAGGCTAGCAGTGGCAGCATAACTGTTGAAGGTATTTTTCTCCATTTCTCCTCCTCCTAGTCTTTTCTACCTGACCTCTTCAGAGAGGAAATTTTTCAGATCAGGAATTGCTTCTTTCTATGAGTTTCCCACCATGCAGACCACAGTGATGGTCTTTGTGGTGTCCCTTAGATGCCAACAGAAAACAATAAACAGCACTGAGTTTTTAAGCTAATCCTGCCATTTCTGTTGCATATTGTATCATGAAGACAAACATCAAATAAGCAGATAAATTTTGCTAACCTTTGCAGCCTGCACCAGCTGCACAGTGCACTGGTTCCATGCGTCGTACTTCTTGGCTCCAGACTGAATCAAATCCTGTAGTTTAGCTGCTGTGCTGCTTATGAGCCTGGAAAATTGAAAAAGCATAAGGCACACTGTTTGTGGATGGAGCAGCCCACATGCACACGGTTCTCATTTGGAGTCGTGTGTGCTCAAATGGCAAACTGGCATTTCTGACATCTGGAGTTATCTACACTGGGTGTGAGTGAACTTAGATCATGCAAAATCTGAGTAAAAACTGGGGAAGCACCCAGACCACCCTGGTACTGGAGGATTTCTGCCTTCTCAGCTTCCAGGGTAGATAACCAAGGGGTTGGCTGAGCTTTTCCTGGATCGTGTTTGTAAGGAGAGTTTGCAAAACAAATAGTAATACTGGACTGCTCTTACATTATGTTTCTCCTTTTCTACACAGGGATTCAAATCCTGCTCCCATTGACACCAAAGATTTTGCAAGTGGCTCTGTTTTTACTCTGGTTTCAATGACAGCAGGGTTGTCTCTTTACCTGGTTTTCAGAGATGACACCTATAGAGCCCATAACCATGCACATAATTCCAATGAGACCACTCATGGTACCATTATTACTTGTGTTGAGTGGCTGAATGTGTCGTTGAAAGGCTACAGACAGAATGAGAGGCTGTGTGTTTGCTGTGGTGTTAATTGAAAACAAACATCCCTTTCTCAGGTATGTGAAATTTTAACATTCTGTATAAAATTGCTCAGGATCCAGTTGCCTAAAGGTTTTATTGGATGGCAATTCAGTGATGTGGTCTGGGATTTACTTAAATGGTGCCACCAACTCTGTGAACGTAGTTGGTTGGTAGCATGTGGCTTAAGAACTTCTGAGTGTGAAAGCTCCATACTGGACATCTGACATGGCTGTTAATCCTGTGTAGTCTTCCTTTTCTCTTTCAGGAGCAGATGGTGCCAATCCTTGTGTAACTTATGTTATTTTACCTCCCTTGAAATGAAGGAAGAAGCTGAGCTCTGAACACATTTCTGATGTCTCCCGTTCTCCGTACTGACCTGACTGCCACGTGTTGATAGGCCTCAGTGTAAATATCTGGACTGAGAAAATCTGACTTGTTCTTGGCTGGACACTTCCCAGGTTTCACTGCAGCCAGATAAGTGACAGATGGTGGAACAGGCTGGCCAGCGCTGGCTGCCATGAAGCACTTAATCAGGAACCTGGGAAGAGAGCAAAGTCAGAGCAGGGTATGGTGGTGATCTGCACACAGCAAATAGTCATGCAAAAAGTGTAAAGCAGGAGCAGGTATGGAGCAGCAAGGTGCTGCAGTGGTCCAGAACGGACTTGAACAAGTAATGACCTTTTGTTTTGCCTGTTACTCGCAGTAACCTGATCTGTGGTGGCTCTCAGGGGTAGCCTATCTACTGTATTTAATGCTGCAGCAGCCTGTAGTGATGGGTTTTTCAGCAGAAACTTGCTGTGGCTTTTAGCAGTCTCAGCGGTGTGGTGATTAGATACATTATCAACTTTGCAACCTGAGTCTTAATGCTCTGGGAATCTTAGTAGTGGTTTGGTCTTACCCTCTGTGATCCCCAACATACAGTCACATTATGTTAACAAACACGAGACCCTTTCTTGGAGATTGTGTACAAGGAGAATTCTCCACTCCCTTATTTTTTAGCACCTCTGCTATGAGCTAGACTGACCAGGTCTGGCATTAAAAAGTTACAGCATTTCTCTTGACCTTGCTGTTGATCTTGCTTCTTGAAGAAGCAGTAATGAGCCCAGAAGTGTCTGCATGCAAGCACAGAGCTACATGGTTGCTCTGTCTCTGGGAAGTGCACTGCTTTTCTCCTTCTAGTAAAAACACACATTATTAAAAGTTCAAGCAGCTGTAGTTTTTTTCCTGTATTTCATGCGCTCTGGATAATCATCAGTCTGCGTGTTCAGAGGAAAGTGGTGTTCTTGGAGCATGACTCATCCACTTTCAGTATCCAACAACTTTGTTTTCTCTGAATCTCACTTAACCAATACTGTGTTCTGGCCTCACTTTTACCAATGTTGTGTTACATTGTACCATTGTTACAATGGTTGCTTAAAAAATAAACCACAAAACTTGTATAGCAATGTATTTGCTGTGCTAGGAGGCAAAGAGGAAAATGAGGTTATGCAGAGCAGCACCTGCATACGTCCCCAAACCAAAAATAGAAGAGATAATCCAATTCCCACACACCTCCATGCCTGTTAGACAGAAGACATGAATAGTTTATGTCCTGAGCTGTATTTTTAGAAGGTGCTGTGAGAAAGGAGTAGCTGGTTTTACTGGTTTTGGAGAAGAAGTGGTAGAGGCTGAATAAACGAGGGCACAGGCTTTTAGATGAACACATTTGAATTGTTACCTGGCAGTTTGCAGGAGCAAGATGGTGTTTTCCCCTTCATAAATACAAGAGGCAAGTATTTTGGTATACAAGGAAGGGAGTCCACTCAGCAGGGAGTAGCCATGTCCCCCACAGGCCCGGAGGCAGATCTCCACTGCTGCAGTGCTGTGGTGAGTGATCACGGCTTTAAAGCCCGAAGACAATGCATGAAGCTGTTAAAAAAAAAGGGAAAAAACCAAAAGCAAAGTGTTACTGGTGTAAGTGTTCTAAAACAATCCTCAGAATAAATGTCCTTTTTTTAATCTTGTGCAACTTCTGGACATGAAATCCCTGTCGGGTCCCCCTTTGCATGCTGGTAGCACCCATCTCCCTGAGCCTGGCCTTTGGTGTCTGCCTGGGATGCTGCACAGCCTCCTGCTGGCCACACTGTAGTCAGTTTATGCATTTTTGGGTTTCTCTCAACCAGCTGTGGCTTCGACCACCTTTGTTCAGAGTGTGTTTTCATTTCAAGCACCCAATTGCAAAATCTTCTGTTCCATCTAAAAAGTCACATTTTTGGTTTTGGCTCAGAAGAGAGTATTTGCACGTGCATTTGTAGATGAAGTTGTGAAATAACGCTTTGTGCCACCAGCCACTTGGAACGAGGTTTTTAAGCAAACAGACATGCTTTTCAAGGACTTTGCAATAGTTCCCAAAACAAAAAATTTGGGGCGGTAGAGTGAATGTTGTCGCTGACTGGTTGTGGACCTGGGACATGCCATTTGATCTCCTACTGATTCCTCTTTCTCCAGTTCTCTAGCGAGAGGAATGCTTGTCCAGTTTGCTAAAATCTTTTGATATCTGGAGATGAGAACTGCTGTATGAATCCTGCTGCAGCTCACCTCTGGCAGCATGTCAAAGTTCTTCCTCTGGATCTCTCTGTACCCCCTGTCAAACAGCTCCTGCAGGTAGTTGTTGATGAAATGAAAGGCATAGGCTGCTGCCAACTGGGGCAGCAGTTTCTCTTGCTGAGTCTGGTAGTCAAGGATTTTTGCTTCTTGTTCCCTGTTGGAAGACAGCTGATGAACTAGGGAAAGTGTGGACACAGGCATAGCTACTGCTACAGTCGCAGAACAAAAAATAGCATTTTTCATTACCAAGAAGCAGTGTGCAAACAGGACTGAGCTGATGGTGTGGCAGCAAATCTGCCCAGCTTGCTGAGCTGTTGGAGAGACAAACCCTTCGAGAAAAGAAAAGGGATTTTTCTGCTGTGTTGATGAACCAGCCTAACAGCACAGAAAAGGCTCAGTGCAGAGGGGGAACAGGAACTGCGAGAGAGGAAAAGGATGAAGCCTTCAAGGACAGCAAGTCGTTCCAGGGGAGATGGTGCCACTACACCCTGAAAAACTTCTGCTTTTCAAACAGAATCTTTGTGGCCCTGGGTGTAGACTCAAAAAAAATTGAGTCTAAATTATTTTGAGCTTTTTTTTTGGATGTTCTTTACCTCTTTTTCTGTGGTTAGTACACTCAGGGCTTCAGTCATTGGAACTGGTTATTACAATTGTTCAACATGCTGCACTCTTCTGTTTGGTTTGTGTTTGAACCAAACCATGTTCTCATTAGGATCCTTCTGCTTTTGACAGGAGATTTAAATGGAAATTTTTGTAATCCATTCAAATTAAAAATAACAGGGATTCTTGCCAGACTAATACAATTCAGCGTTGTAAAGCGTGGATACTGGATTTCTGGATGTTGGAAGGTATTTTAACATTGCACCCACTAGTAGGATGCTATGGAATAAGAATTCAGCAGCTTGTCCACTTTGTCTGGATTCTGCTGAGTTAGGGGATTGCATTAGGGGAAGGCCAGTTATAAAAAATAAGTTGCCTGTCTGAACCGCTGAGCTATTCAAACTATGAAACTTATCTTGGAAAGAACCGTAAACATTCTCTTGTACTTTGACTGAAGCTCGTTAATGTAAATAACGGGGGGAGCACGTTCGTCATGCCCTGCCTGGGCCAGGAAATCAGCCAGTGATGGGCTGAAAGATAAGATGAAAAGCAGAAACACAAACTGGTGCAGGGGAACGTGGTGTGTAGTCCCCTTCCCACTGCTGCAGGCTCTGTGTGGCATTACCCAGGCTTTAACTTGGACTGCCGGCGAACCACGGAGTACCGGATGGCGATGGTGCAGGCTTTCATGAGGGGGGTCAGAACCTCGTCTGAAATGAGGGAAATGCGCACTGCAGTCATTGTGAAATAATTAATCTTCTGTGACCCCTGTCTTACATAGGTGCCGTCTGGTCGAACCTGGAGTAGAGAGAGGGTGTTAGATGCCGCCTTCTTCAATACTAAGGTGGCTGTGTAATCACTAAGCATAGGGTAAAATGGACATAAAAATCCTTCTCTGAATGCAAACAATGTTTTTATGTGTGATGGATGGAAGATATCTGTTTAAAGAGACAAACTCTTACTGTTTCTGGCTGAGATAGGTTCTGCCAGCCCTGTTATCCCCGGTGTCTGAATGTGGAATTCTTGACACCGAGTTTCATTTAGGATTCAGGTAACTTCTGCCCTTGATAAAACCTCAGAGACTTGCAGACACCTCGAAGGAAGATTTTTGTCCTAAATTTAGGCAAGTCCCTGTCTCTCTGGTTGTGCAATGAGAGTCTGATGGGCAAGTCTGTGATGTGAGTCCATACATACCTCGCAAAACTTGCTCAGCATGTTCTCCCGGGGGATGCGCACGTTCTTCAGCATGAGGTAGCCATTGTCAATGGCCTCAAAATTCATTTTGGGACCAATGTCTCCTGCAGTTATGCCTGCAGTAGGAGAAAACAGAGCCTGCTTACTTCCACTTGAACTTTTTTCTCCCTCATTTTGTGTCAGGCTGAGGATCTCAAAGGAAGGGCATGTTCAGCTCTGCTTCTTCCCCAGCATGGAAGATCTCGCCTGAGGGGTGAAACAGGCATTCGAATGCCTTCTGGTAGTTTGTTTCCATGATCCATCAACAGATGGATCCGTGTTGGCTGGGGCCAGAACTGAGGTGTTAATGGAGAGGTGCTCAGAGCAGGCCAGGCTTCTGGTTAAGACGAGAGCTTGGTCTGAACATGCCTGAGGATATGTTAGATTTCCCTTTAGATAAGAAGGTTGAGGTTAATGATAACTATGCCTTGGGTATCTCTCTTGGCTTGGTTTTGGCAATTTTAACTCTCCCTGGGCCCAATGTTTTAGAAAACCTTTAAGGGCAAAACAGGCAGAGCACCTGCACAAGTGCTGAGGTGTCTGGGGTTGTTTACCTGGGCAGAGTGAATGGTCCTGAAGGCTGCGTATCTGCACGATGAAGGGATGGATGCCATAGCACTTCCCGTGGATGTACAGCTGAGCAAAGACCACTGTGTGGGTCGCTGATCGTCCCACTGCAAGAAGAAAACCAGCCCCATTCCCTTAAGACAAGGTATAGCACAAACACTTCCGCAGTTAACAGCGGTCAGTGTAATTGTGTGTTAGGTCCCACTAAGGCAGGGCTCAGCACAGGTCTGAGCCACAGGTGCTGGAAGCCTAAAGCTGAGCCTGTTCTTGGCTCTCAGAAGCTGCACCATCATTCTGCCACTGTTGCTGCCCACGAGGCTTGGATTACTAGTTTTGCATCAGAATATGAGAAAAAATAAGCAGGTAAAGTTCATGCAGTGCTGAGAGAGTGGGAAGTGCTGTGGCTGTTGCAGTGACTCCAGTTATTTTCTGTGAAATACCTTCCTGAAGGGAGCTGAGAATTTCACACTTGAATCCTTTATGCTGAGACTGTCTGATGACTTGAATCCTTTATGCTGATGACCTCCCTGCAGTTTTTGGTTGCCTGAGTATCATTGAGAAAGAAGATTTATTCCTACTGAGGCAGGAGTTTCCCTGAGTGAAATTCTCCAGCCCTGCCACCCAAGAGGTTTTGGTAGATGATGGTGGCTCCCTTCTTGGCCTTTGAACTTGGTCAAACCCCTTTCTTGCCTCTCAGTGAGTGCATCTCTTACAGAAGTCCTCTGCTAGCACCTGGGCCCTCAAACATGGAGCTTAAGCAGGGTAGGTGGAGTAAGTAAAGGAGGCAAATGAGGAAACCCAAAATGTTTTGTGTGGTACTTACTGTCTCCAGGCCACCACTTCATGGCAGAGATCTTTGGTGTGTTCAGTATAAACTCCTGAGTAGCAATATCAAAGATGGCTGTTGTTTCCAAACCCTGAAGATAAGTGCCTTTAAAAAAAGAAATTTAAAAAAAATTCTATCTCCTGATGTAACACAAGGATGGAGGGAGTGAATGGTCCCTGGGGACTGGTGTGGGTATTATCAGGGTTTTGTGGTTTACCCTTCTGACAAGAACCACAGGTCAATGCTTGCAATGACCCCACACCATTTCTTGCACAAATCTCTTAAGCCCTGTGGTACTCGGGCATCTGCCTGGCTCCTGGTGACAGCCATCAGCTGGACAAGCTGCCTGGCTGATCCCCTCCCCTGCTGGTGACTGCCTGCTGTCCAACCACAGGCTTTCATCCTCGCTGTTGTTAAGTTTTCCATATTGACAAAACCAAAGCCAGTGCATCTCCAGCTTGCAGAGGAACGCTGAGGACATCGACCTCTAACATGCAGGAGGCATTTCCACCCAGCCACCCCTGTCCCCAGGGAAGGATGGACAGTTTGGACTCAAATTTCCATGAGAATTTGGCTGCAGCCTTTTGTCCTAAGGAAACACTGTTTTCCCCACAGCCTTACCATGTCCCAGTTCAGTCTGGGCGTAGCTTCCAATGAGCCGGAGCTGGGCGGCGAGAGGAATCCACTTGGCAATCTGTTTGTCAGAGCCCAGCACCGAAATACTTCTCATGAAGACGCGGTGAAGGAGAAAAGCGACGTCCCCGGACAGCGCCCTGCTGAGAAGGCACAAGGGGTATTTCTAAGGGGATGAAGTTCCAGGCATGTGATGAATGAGGCAGTGGCACTGCGGTGGTCACCAGACGGTACCACCTGCTGCCTTTTGATTTCTGCCTTGTCATACTTTAGCCAGCAGCCAGCAGCAGCACAGCGTTGCAGGAAAAGAGCTCTTCCAAGCTGCTTTTGTTCCTTCTTTCATAGCAGTTTGCTTAAGTGTTGCTCGCTTATTATCTCAGTTGCTCTTGGAGGAATTATCTGTTCTGAGTAGCAGATGCTCAGCTAAAAACACAGCCCGGCTCCAAAGCTCCTGTGGCTCTGAGGCTTGTGAGCCCTTAATATCTTTTTTTTATTTCCTGATTATTTAATTCATATTTTGAGGCTGAACTAAAAAAGTCAAAAAAACCCAAAAAAACC